TTTATAATGATATGACAAATGTATACATCACCATGTTTAAATAATATGATGACATTTTCGTGCCATTCTCATATCATCTCATTCAAACAACATTTTTACTCTCTTCAATTGATACTAATAAAATGAATGAAATAATAGAAATATGAATTGTATTGATAAATAGTTTGATTGAAAAATAGTTTCTAATTTGTTTTTTTTTTAAAAAAATAAATTTAAAAAAATGGAAGGAAAGAAAAGAAGTAAAATCTTTAAAAAAAAAAAAAAAATTATAGCTAAATGTAATAAAAAACTTCACGTAATTATTCAATAAGAGTAAAACTGATGAAGAATAACGTGAATGATCAAAGGTAAATGTAAACGTGAATTCTGATTAAACCGTTCCGTATTATCCGTATTCTATTAACAGAATAGATACGTGAAATGATCAAAAGTAAGTGTAAACGTGAATTCTGATTAAACCGTTCCGTATTATCCGTATTCTATTAACAATTGATTGATTAAATGATATCCCGTTAATCTTGAATGGTATTTTGGAAAAAAAAAAGAAAGTGAAGATATCAGTTGAATTAATACTTACGCAAAAATGGACAATCGTTTCAAATCAATCAAATATCACAAAGTTTATATAAACGTAACTCTGAGTACCATTACTAAATATAAATTATCAATCTCAATGTATAATTAATCACCAACTATTTGAAGAGTAACGACATAAATTAAATTTAATAAAAAAAAGTTAAATTAATTAATTTTATACTTCATTTAAATTCCAACCAGTATTGTAATTTGAAAATTCATGAATTTAAAGGAAAGGAAATTGAAAATGAAAACAAAAGTATGAAATGATTTGCTCGTATAAAACTTATCTGTAATAGGAAATTTTATAGTTTATAAATTACAGGTGCAAAATATTTGATTAAAATGAAGTAGGAAAAAAAAACTGAAATATTAATAATAATATTATTAATAAATAATAATTTGCAATAGTAATAATGATATAACAATTAATAATAACAAATTAATAATAATAATAATAGTATAGTAATGCAAGGATTATACGAATGATATTCGAATAACATCACGATAATAATTGAATAAGATCACGATGACAACCGAATAACACCACGATGATTTAATGGATGAATGTTGGAATGCGTTTATATACTATATATGTATATATATATATATATATATATATATATATAT